AGCGTACATGAGAAATCAATCATGCTATGTGTAGTCAATTTACCCAGATAATATGGATCAGGTTGTGAGATCTTTGTATGTGCTGTGATGCATGTACTTGTATTGTCCGTCAGTTTCCAAGTTATTTTTTGTTATGATTTTGAGATTGGTTACCCATTTGAAAAACAGTTATGTTTCACATTCACTCATATTAACATTTAATGAAAATGTACAAAGTACAAAAACAATACTTTGACTTAAACATTGAGATGTTTTCTTTGGGGGAATCAGTATAGTTTTATATGTCATGTGTGTTTTTCAGTATGGTGATGTTGAGAATGTTACACTGTTTAGTGGGATTACAGACATTACGATATTTAGACATAAACACAACTCCAGATAAGCTGGGAAATTTGGGGAACTACACAACATAAATTACTATTACCCAATTAGTTTTGTTTTGTGTACAATTACTCATAACACATTTCAAAAAGCCAATTGTATGACAACGCTCTTCATAATTACCCAATGTTTTTCAACAAGTAAATCTGTGTTTCCTCACTGATCTTTATTTACAGATTGAATGCAGGCATCACACATTCATGAACTCAACTGCAGTGAATACTGCATGGAAAGGAACTATGTTTTGCCTATTGTTAATTAAACATGTTACACAATTGGAGCAGCACATGAGCAGATACAAATAAGAAGTCATTTGAAACAACATTTTAAGCACAATTATTAAAAAAAATATCTACTCATTGGTGAATAAGTGCAGTGTGAATAATTACTTTTGATTAAATACTCAATGGTTCAAATAATTATCTGGTGCCCTGCATAAATTGACCAATAAAATTTTCTGGCACCCTGCATATACTGACCAATAAAATTATCTGGCGCCCTAAATATATTGACAATAAAATTCCCACACAAGTTTCATAAAATCAGTATGACACACATGTGAGTGTAATAATTGCTTTATTAACCATTATTTCTTATTATCCCATGCCCAACGAAGTTGGCGGGGGATATAGAAACGGGCTCCGTCCGTCCATCACGTTTCGTTTCCGGAGCATAACTCATAAACTGTTCAATATTTTTTCATGAAACTTTGCAGGTCGGTCAAGTACATGCTGAACTGGTGCCTTTTGCTATTTAGAAATTTTAGAAATTTTTATTTTTTAAGTTTCCATTGCAGCAAGATGGACTTAGGTTCTGTGAGGGTAGGGTTCGTTTCCGGAGCATAACTCATAAACCGTTCAATATTTTTATCCCGCGGCACATAATGCGGGGGGATATAGCTATGGGCATGTCTGTCCGTCTGTCTGTCTGTACGTCTGTCTGTCTGTCCGTCTGTCTGAATCGTTTCCGGAGCAGAACTTGAAAACCGTTAAATATTTCTTCATCAAACTTTGCATTTATAACACTCAAGTGGTGAAGTTGTGCCTTTTGCTATTTTGCAATTTTTTCACCTCATATTTTCATGTAAACATGTTGGACATTGGCTCTCTGTGTGAGTGATGTTAGTTTCAGAAGTAGAACTCAAAAACTGTTGAATATTTCTCCATGTTACTTTTCATAGGTTTAAACTACATACTGAACTGGTGCCTTTTGCTATTTTAGGATTTTAAATTGTTTCTGTTTTCAGTCTCCACGGAAGCAAATTCGAGTTAGGTTCAATTTGGGATGGGGTTCATTTCTTGAACAGAACTGAGAAAGTGTGTGATAGTTCTCCACAAAACTTTGCACAAGCATCATCTAGTTTGCATAAAAAAAACCCACAGAAACACACTTGTTTTACTTTCCATTTCATATGGATGTGACCGTGGTGGATCTTTTGTGGGTAAACAATGTATGCTTCTTCAAGAACATTCAACTCTTGACTCATTACATACAGAATTGCACATTTACTTGTAGTTACTTTACAGACAGCTGCAGGGGGGATCTGTCATCTTTCTGATGACTCTTGTTTTACAATTTCCATGACAAGTTCCACCTCGGTTAAAAAAGGTTAGGGTTTGTTTAGATTTAATTATGTCATAAATTCTGCAACAGGGGCGGGGGATATAGCCACACTAGTGGCAAACTCTTTTTCCTTTTGAGCTCCCACTTAGAAAAATGCATTGATCATGATGGCCTTTTTGGAAAACCAGAGTTGTTAAAAGATGTCAACAATCTTCAGCTATGACATCGTTTCTAGTGTGACATCATTCCACCATTATATCACAATAAAAACCACATGTGGTCAACAATGCCATCCGGATGACTTAAACAATACACTAGTGCGCAGGAAGTGATCTTTGCCTTCATGCACAATGATATAAATGTTGTAACATAGGCGGGACATTCCCACAGTCTTTTGTAACCAATTCCTCATGCAGCTGTGATGCATGATGTCACAATGATATCTACAAACATTGTTTATCCATTGAGATCTGTGTATCAAAGGTAATGTTGAGCTTTTGTCCCACTATTCAGCTTTGAATATACTGTAAATCTTGAAATCAAAGCGAGCATGAATTAAATGTGAAAATTGCGAGTGGTCTTTGCTCACTTTAATTAACTTCACATTTATGTCTCCAAAATGACTCAACAATAAGACGGCCTCACTGCACATTTTCCATATCGGAAATGCCAACTGTTTATTGTTTTTACGGCGGTGCCATTTGCTGTTTGATTGGATTAAGGTAAGGTTGGATTAAGGTAAGGTTGGATTAAGGTAAGGTTGGATTAAGGTAAGGTTGGATTAAGGTAAGGTTGGATTAAGGTAAGGTTGGATTAAGGTAAGGTTGGATTAAGGCAAGGATATGTATCATTCTACTGGGGATGGGGTGGGGGGAGCCGGATTGATATTGAGTTGCATTTTTCTAGGGGTCAGCAGTCGTATTAATTTGGAGTAGCATTAGTCTCCAGATTTACAGTATTATGAACATTATGAAGTTTGATATACAGTTTGCATGTGGTTATTAATATGTCTTGTTGTGTATTTAGATATTTGGCAACATTCATTGATCAAATAAACTTCTGTTGTCATTTTCTTATTTACCCTTGTATGATCTTACTGATCTGAAATGATATTCCAGAAAAATGATGTTTCCTCCCCCTCGGGGTTTACATTTTCAACCAAACCCTCAGAGGTGTCTTTTCTTCTGTACATACACAGTTTCTACATTCTACAGACAGTTCAGGTTTGTAAATACAATCGTATGGCAGATGAAGACCAAGTAGCTGGTATTGGTTGAAATAAAAAGAACTTTGTGAAGCTTAATACTTTTATCCCATGTCCAAGAAATATAGGGTTTCATCTGTCATGTTTCATCACATTCAACTGGCTGTTGTTTATAAGGAGATTGCCAGTGATGATGTGTAATGCATGAGAAGGCGTTGTTTATAAGGAGATTGCCAGTGATGATGTGTAATGCATGAGAAGGCGTTGTTTATAAGGAGATTGCCAGTGATGATGTGTAATGCATGAGAAGGCGTTGTTTATAAGGAGATTGCCAGTGATGATGTGTAATGCATGAGAAGGCGTTGTTTATAAGGAGATTGCCAGTGATGATGTGTAATGCATGAGAAGGCGTTGTTTATAAGGAGATTGCCAGTGATGATGTGTAATGCATGAGAAGGCGTTGTTTATAAGGAGATTGCCAGTGATGATGTGTAATGCATGAGAAGGCGTTGTTTATAAGGAGATTGCCAGTGATGATGTGTAATGCATGTGAGAAGGCGTTGTTTATAAACAGACTGTCAGTGATGATGTATAATGCACATGAGAAAGTGTTGTTTATAAGGAGATTGCCAGTGATGATGTGTAATGCATGTGAGTAGGCGTTGTTTATAAAAAGACTGTCAGTGATTATGTATAATACACATGAGAAGGCGTTGTTTATAAAAAGACTGCCAGTGATGGTGTATATAATGCATGTGAGAAGGCGTTGTTTATAGGAAGACTGCCAGTGATGATGTATAATGCATGTGGGAAGACATTGTTTCTGATCCATCAAAGATGCACAGCTCTGGCCAATAGAAACATATTAAAACTATTTTATAATTTTTTTTATGATGTTGGTCCTAACTGATTGTAGATGTGGCCCAAGTGTAGAAATGATGCTAGTCCTATCTGACTGTAGACGTGGCCTAAGTAAACAAATGATGTTGGTCCCATCTGACTGTAGACGTGGCCTAAGTAAATAAATGATGTTGGTCCTATCTGACTGTAGATGTGGCCTGAGTAAACAAATGATGTTCGTCCTATCTGGCTGTAGACGTGGCCTTAGTAAACAAATGATGTTGGTCCTTTCTGATTGTAGACATGGCCTAAGTAAAGAAATGATGTTGGTCCTACTGACTGTAGATGTGGCCTGAGTAAACAAATGATGTTCGTCCTATCTGGCTGTAGATGTGGCCCTGACTGGGAGATGTTTTGTGCATCCAAGCTGATGATGATTTTTCATGTGATTTAGGTTTTGAAATAGAAACAGGTAATTTAGAGAAATGCAATGTCACTCTATTTCATATTATTTGATATCATCTTATTGACAACACAAGCTGTGATCACCAGTGGAAGGGATAGTGTTTGCACATAAGGTTTTCCATACAAGATGTTGAATGACATTATCTTGGTTACATCTCGAAGTCAGTGAATGTGCATATGTTCGATATAGATCTTTTAGAATATGTAAAACCTCATATGTTCTTATAGTATATTACAACTTATATCTTGCCCTGTTAAATATGAAAGAAAACAGAATGGATTGGGTTTAAAGTTTAATTATTTTAAGAACAGCTTTTTCTGCTCTTTCATTCTTGTTGATGGCATCATCATAATCAGCTGTACATCATCGTATCTATTAGTGACCCCTGATGTTGACGATAGAGGAGTTTTTAAGAAAACATGCAAGATAAATAGCAGAATGTTGGGCTCAGTCAATACATTGCTGTGGACGTTTCCTCAATTATTAGCTGAAATGAATGTTTTAACATTGTTATTCAATGCAACACAATTAGAGACAGACACAGAATCACATGTGTGAATTTATTTAATACACAGACTGAGAGACAAATTCCCACATAAGACAAAATATGTACACAAAAGTCTACCATACAGAAGTTGGAGTGCATCAGTTAATTGCAATCCTTGTGTTAGTTGTGTTGAGCGGAAGGCACATCAGCTCCATATTGATTGTGTGGGACTGCACCTCTACTGGGCTTGCTGTGGGAGTTTCATGCTTATCACATATTGTAAAGGCAGCAAAAAACACATCTGGATAAACCTTTTTATCATAATGAAAGGAAAATAATGTGTTTCACGTTGAGCTGACTTGTTTAAACAGTAAACCGCTATCAGCACCCATACCACCTTTTAAAGTGTGTATTTAAAATCAATTAATAGAAATGGTAGTTTTTAGTTCATTTGAGTAAGAACAGGATTGTACAGGCTGTGTGCAGACATTAGTCGTGTGAAGTTGTTGTAGATCTCAGTGATGAATTAACCAACAGGCCTAAGTTAAAAAATGTTATTCAGCTTCAAGAATTTCAAAAGGATTTGTTATAGGCCAAGCTTTCTACTGTACATGTATTTTGTGAAAACATTGGCAGCTGAAGTACAAAGTTGTTAAAATGCATTATCATGGAATCACAGGGATGATGAACCTATCAGGACAAAATGTGTTTGATGTATATATATCATAATTTCCCAACACCAAAAACATTTGATGAAAGACATAAGACATGCATCATACAATTTTCCAAGGAAAATATGTCTTAATACAGATTGTGTGTACAAACACAATTACTTATTCTGAGAGATATAGATAGGAGAATTATCACTATGTGTTGATAATAATTGATTTTACCACAGGCATTTCTTTCATTTTCATAGCATGCATGTGATGAATCTTCTTTGTATTGGATCTTGATCGACAAATTCACTAATTAGTTTTGAGGTTTTTCTAAGAGGTTGATGCTCATCAGTCTGTTGATTTTCAACTTAAAGTTTTAGCACCAGCAATTATGTCTTTATAATGCTTGCCGCTATCATACTGATACACACCTGTGCTGATCCGGCCACACCAGGTCATCATCCCACTTCCTGTGGCCAGCATTGGGAGCCAGCCACACAGTCACGGAGCACATGATTGTATTCCTTATGTTTGACACATTCCAACACTGTACAATGCCATGGATGTTTGTTTGAATGCTGTTATGAAGTTCCAGGAGGTGTAAGAGACTTTCATAACGTTGTGGTGATAGCTCGGCTTCCATCACTGCAGATTTCATACTCAACATGGATCCTATTGGAATCATCATTGCCACTCATATTTCTCATTTCATATACTTTTGGCCTTCGTTTTATGGTCAGGTCTTTGAAAAACTGAGCAAACTCTGAGCGAAAAGTTTTTGAGCAAATAAGGAGAAGATATCCCAATACTGCCTGATTAGTTGCTGAGAGAAATCCTGTAACTTTCTTTGTGAGTTCTATCTGAGCAATAAGCTTTGCATTCAGCCAGGAGCTTGGAGCATGGATATCGATGAGGTTGATGATGGTGGCAGGAACAGCCAATGCAAAGAAGGACATGGAAATGATGAGAGTGATGACAATAAAGTCATCACCACCATCAGCTTGAATAGTGCGGCGTAAGCGATGGCGTTTTAGGCACAGTGATACCATCAGGCAGATGTTAAGGTGGAAGAGAAGCAGTAGTGGCAGATAGGAGTAGAAAGTAGCCGACATCCAGGGCCAGATGAGGATATGCAGGTCCTTCATGTGATAGGGGATGAAACAGCCATGTTCCTGCAGTTGGTATGTCCACATTGCATGCACACTGATGACAACCAGACCTATCATGATGAACACTGAAGAGACCTTTGCTGTAAACACTGTGCACATTGTCAGTGCCTTGTTTGGATAGCAAAGTAAAACATAGCGGTCAATAGTCATTGCTACCACAAACCATATCCCACTGTATATCATGACATTGGCCATGAATGTCCACAGTCCACATCCCCAGTCACTGAGCGTTGCTATATATGGCTTCTGTAGAATGTAACATAACCAGGCTACTCCAGACACCAAGTTTAGTACCAACAAGTTGGCAACAGCATACGCAGACATATAAAAACATGCTGAATGTTGCCTCAAGTTTTTTCTCCTCAAAACAAGAAGTGCCAACAGATTACTAAAGTTTCCAATGATGATGAGCACAGGAGTAAGGTACCGATGGAGCTGCTCCGACATCCTGAAGTCAGGTTCGGACAGCAGCAGCTCTGCAAGGCTGGTTACCGTATCGGGACTCACCGAAGAATCAATAAGCTGCCAGTCCTTCGTCACACTGCCATCGTCCTCAACGCTGCTTGTCAGATTCACACCCCCAACCTTCAGCAGTACAGACGCATGTTCATTGGCTACAGGAATGGGCGTGCTCATGGTGAACAGACCACTCTGTGGTAGGCTAGGATCCAGCAATCTTCTGTCTTGCTAACAGCCACGCAGTCTGAAATAAATTGCACACTTGATCACAACAGAGACAACTTCTACTGCTACTTATGTAGGAAAACTAACTTGAAAGATCTTTTAGCTGCATTATGTGAGGCTGTAAACAATGACTTCTTGCTATTTCCTGTAAGTTGAGTGTAATACTGATTCGTCATTACCCCTCAGTGAATCTGCATCGTTTCAACACTGACTCGGTTGAGTCTGCTGCTCCTTGCTTGCTTGCACATCAATAAATGTTAACTGTTTTGGAGTATGTCTGTCTATTATGGAAATTGGGTTCACTGACCATTTGAGTTTGGTTCGAATTTGTTATTGGTTCATTTCTCATACATTTTCTTATGAATAAATTGTGTATGAGCATGTAACATTGTTTTGAAGTTATTTGATAATTTGCATAAAAACCTCAAATACTTTGAATCTGACAGTAAAGTACATAAGCTCACACACTATGGTTTTTTGTTTTTTTTTATTCATAACAAGTTGTCAATAAAAGGTTATTTCTTTACAAATGTATTGTCACTACATATTAGCGTTATTAGGGAATGAGGTCTTGTATTGTTGAATGCATGTATTCTGGTCTAGTTTGTGTGCTGTCGACCATTGGCTGCCAACTAATGTAGTCAATTGAATTGTCATGTGCAAACAGCAACAAAGAAAAGGCTTAATCAAGTCATTAATTTGTGAAAGGAACACCAGCTTAGCCTTGAAAATAATACAACTACAACTTAAAACACAGAGAATGGTTATATGCACTTAAAGATGGTATACATTTTAGTTGAATGGCTTGTTTGTGGTAATTATATTCAAGCAAAATGGTGTGAAACTTTGTTTTAGCTATGTTCCCTACCGCATTTAACTGACATTTTGGTGACACTTGTGACAGTTTAGCTGACAACATCCTTAATTTGCAATCTTTCCAGATGTCTTTGATGTCAAAAGGTATTACCAACATGCCACTCAAATGCTCCTTGTTCGTGGCATGTTCATAGTCATCTGTCTCTGAAGGATATTTTGTTTGCCACAGTTTTAATGTCACTTAGCTATCAGAACATTCACATGTACCAACTAATGGTACCAGTCCAAATAATGATTTTATAGGAAAACCTGTACTCATGTGAAGTACTTTTGAATCTGGTCATTGGACTGCTGTGCCAGTTAAAATAATGTTTGTTTGTCATAGCATGCTTACTTAGTAATTAGACATGAGAAGAATTGATTTTTGAAAGAAAGGACAGTATTTATTGATGTCCCCTTTGTAATTCTTTTCCAAGGCAGCAATAGGTCTTGATGAAACTTTGTATTCACTTCAGATATACATCATACAACCCTTTGGGATTCACAGCAACAATGCTTGTTGTTAGAGGAGACTAAATGGATTAGGTGGTCATGCTCGGTAACCTGGTTGATTGTGTGACATCATACGCTGACACATGCATGGGGCATTGCTCATGACATTAATCTCTCATCTAGACCTCCCCAATACAGCTTGAATATTGCTCTATGCGGTGTTAAGTAGCAAACATACATATTTCAGAGGGCTTGGGATATTGATGACCTTGTCTCCTCATATATCATTACTTCCATACAAAAATTAGTTGGTATCCAGATGATTGTGCGAGTTATTTGTTTCAACATGCCAAATATTGGGTAAAGATAGCATTTGTATCCAGGCTCACAGTCAGATCCATCCATTTGTTGCAACTGTTGCCATTTACAGACCTAGGCTCATGCTGACCGCAATGTTCCAGACAAGGTAGAAAGAGAAAAACTCATGCAACAGAGATAGCTGTGATGTGAGATGCATTTCTTCCATGGGGTTACACCAGACACTTTCAGCTGGATTTCATTTTGACTTGTCCAAATATGCATGTACTTTGCCATTTATAGGTCAGCTGGTTGACAGTCAAGTGAATTTATGTCATGGCCTGCTGTTTTGCATCGTCAGCATCGTCGGCTGTAAACATCTTTTCAGAAACCACTACTCCAATGAAGATTAAATTTCACATGCATGTTCCCATCAAAGATGACAATTGATTAGTTATAAAGGTTCAAATCTTTTCTCAGCCATTTTGTATCTAAAAGTATTGAAATAAGTTATTGTGTAGTTAGTATTGTGGCTCAACATGTTCCATTTTTTACCTTTGATTAAGACAGTGCGATTAATCGCTGTAAATGAGGTGTAGGCTCTGTAAACATATCAGAAACCACTGGACCAATAATGCTGTAAGTTCACATACTTCCCACCAATGATCACACTTACATTTGTTCACGAGCCTGGCAGTCATGTTGAAAAACCTATTGAATGGAATTACTCAGCCATTTAAGTTCATAACCTGAGGCTGTAAGAAGACTTCCTGCTATTTGCTGTGTGACACTGATTCGTCATTACCCCTAAGTGAATCTGCATCATTTCAACATCGACTTGGTTAAGTATGTGGCTTCATGCACATCAATAAATGTTAACTGTTTTTGAGTATGTCAGGCTTTTTGTGGCAATTACTCACCTTTTATTGTTTACAATGTACTGAAATGTGGTACATGTTTAGTCACACATTTTATGTTTTGACCATGCTCTTCAATTCTCTTGAAGTGTATTTGTATGAGATTGAAGAAGCTGAAGTTTTACAAGTATGTTTCTTCTTTTGATGATATTATAGCTTGTTCAGATCCTTAGAATCTAGTGTCAGCAAGTGGCTCTTGTATCGATGCAGGTGAGCTAAAGTGCCATGGTACTATTTTTGTTCAGAAATTTACACCATACTGGTCAGCAGACACTAACCTTTGCCATCTTGGAAATGTTATTGATGCATGTTACTAAGTCATCCACAAATATTTCAGTGTAATTGGTATGTAAAGTAAATATGTAACCGTCAAAATACTTTTGTTTTTAACCCTCTGGATGCTGATTTAAATTTCTGACACACATTTTTATAGAAACTGAAAAGTGAACGCCATGCAAGAATTGCACTGGATCTACCTGTGACTATAAAAATTATACAGGGTTGGAGAATACAGTCAAGTCTCGTTAATCTGACACTCGTTAATCCAACAATTAGCTTTATCTGATACTAATGATGGGAACCGATTAAATCAGTGCTATTTAGACCCGTTAATCCGTCTTGCATCCCGACTCCGACACACAACGAATTACCGAAATCACTCATTAATCAGTCTCGTTAATCTGACAGTGATCAGCATACTCGATGGTCATTTGCCTGCGAGTATACAGCCCCGTGTTTTAATGCGAGACGAATTGGCTCGTAGCTGCATATTACAACAGCTCCAGAGATAAACTTGCTTAACAATTCATGTGATTAATCCTGTTTTCTTTATTTAAAGCATTCTTAGATTACCTCAATCTCACTGAAATCAGATACAAGTTCTCGCTATCGCCGATTACTGGTCACGTCAGAACAACCTTTCGCGAACTATGACAGACCATTGAAATGACAACAGGAAGTCAGTGTTAGCCACTTAGAAAGCATGTAACTTTATACTTTTTCATGTACTAAATCACACAACCGATATGCGTTTCTCACCAAGGTCATATCAAAGGCCACAAAATTGGTTACCCTGCATATCATACTACCATGTACATGCTGCAGTTTTAAGGAAATATGTTTCATCATCTAGAGGTAGGCAATGTAGCATATGGCAGTTGTCCATTTCTTAAGCAAACAATAGATAATCAAAGTTTCAAGTATTTTGTGGCCTTTGATATGACATTGGAGAGAAATGACTATCCATTGTGTGATTTAGTACATGAAAAGTATCAGAAATATAGCATGATTAAAACCTAGGACACCAGGATAGGACGAGTGAGTGTACTTATTCACTCAACCTTTAACTCAAAGAAAATACCAAATATCTATGACCATGTTGATGGAGGATATCACGACCTGGTGGCCTCCTCACAATATGGTGTGTTCACCGACTGAAGTAGTAGGAGTGATATTCAGAGGAGGATTTTCGTTGATTCAGCTCAATCGTATTTACACAAATGAATCATGTATGTAATGAGAATCAAGCTGGGTACATTATATTTTGTTCAAGTTTTTCATTGTAACTTAGAGACTAGGTGGAAAATGCACATAAATGCCATCCATGTATTACCGACATGTTTTATCTGCCATTGTAAAAGAATTAAAACAAAATCAAAATTGACAGAAAACAGCTGTTTGATTGTGCTGAGGTTAACATGTGCTACATCATGTGACTTTTATTAACTCGGAAAAAGTATGCAGCTGTTCTCTTTGAAGCAGAGGTATAAGGGATTTTTACTCCCGCTCAGAAATCCATGAGCAGCCTGTCTTCTTCGTGGTGGGGTATAAGGGATTTATTCTCTCGCTCAGACATGTATTTCCCTTCTAGGTGGCATTTATAGTATTTTAGCAGGATCACGTGAACCAATCAGATGTCATCATTCTGACATTAGATATGATAAGAGTTATTATCTTCTAGAAAAATATTTTCATCTTCCTGTTATATGCTATTATTAAAAAAGCAGAGTGCTGAATGCAGAAGGTGTCCCAAAGAATCTAGCCTGTACCCTTGCTATATACCCACGAAGTAAATTGAATATTTGTCAGATAGGGACCCTATTCTGATCTAGTCCTGTACCCCCTCAACTGAAAACAGCATATTTTACAGTTTCATAGTCATATAATCTATTTGCAGAATTTCTGCTATGTAATTTGTAAACTGGTGAAAGAATATCTGATGGTTGTGTATCATTAAGTTGTGGCCATATAGGGTATACATCAATGGTGTGAACATGATGATTGTATAAAGCAGCACAACTATTGCAAGGTATAATCAATTTGAAGTGTCTTAAAAATTTGATCAGTGTTCATTGTCATTTTCTTGTTCATTATTGTGTACTTAAGAACAGATAATTCAGTTTTCCAAGCGGCAAGTCTTACATGTTCAGAGTTACTTGAATAGCAAGACACTATGTTAAGACTTGAAATATGTTCACAACATTTCATTATCAGTCAA